TAATAAGGGTCCAGGACCGTGATGGACGGTGTGTGTTTGATGACTGTGATGCTCGTATGTTCATGTGATATGTAAAGAAAACAGAAGGGCAGCTCGTCCTCAACAATTAAACAGAGTTTGACATTATAGTCGGGTGTCGTTGCATAAAATATTCATTTTAAAGATCAATTCTACATTGAGGGGATCTGGTGTTGCGGGGATCTGGTGGCATATTTTGGGGAAGAGTCACAGCAAACATTTCTCTCTTGACAGGAGTGGTCTCGTCCAGGACGACGATGCCTCCATCCACTGGCCAGGAGGATTCACTCGATGGTTGGATGAGAATAAAAATGGTACGTTATGGCCTCCACACAGGCTCAACACCTCGCTAAGACACTTTTTGGTGATTATTACCTCTCATACGACATACACAGCAATCCACAGGAGTCTTAACAATTATTAAAATGCATCAACGGAAAATCAAGGAAGAAACTGTTTACTGTGGGAGGAAGCCGGAGAACCCGGAGAGAACCCACGCTGCACGGGGAGAACATGGAGACTCCACACAGAAAGATCCCAGGTGTCCTCACCGGGACGCGAACCAACGATGCTAAACACCCTGCAGCCTTCTCAAACACAAAAACAGCCGGTTTGACAAACATGTCTGCAAATGCTCCCCTTCATACAAGCGACTGTCTGATAAACTGTGATTAGTGAAGCAGCGAGGCTCCTGCTGAGCTGAAGGAGACTTGATGTCCGTCTTGTGTTGACAGAAGACGCCGACATCAGCTCGGTGTGAAACCTTCCCCCGACGTCACGGCTGAAATCAGAGCTCTGTAACACAAGCCAGTTACTTTCAACAGCCAGTGACTGACGCCGCGGTTAAACAACGGGTACCGAGCCGAACAAACACAGGCTCCGGTTACCCAGACGACATTCACAGCCTCCTCACCTGACCGAGGACAGAACGGGGAAATCATGCCTTTACATTAGCAGACAAACAGAGAGGACATTAGCGGGAATCAAGGACTTTTTGGCACAGTTTAATTTCAGCGAGACCTTTTCTCTCTACTCCTAAATATTATTGAGCCTCACTTGAGTTCATTAATTTCTTTTGATCTGGTGCATTCATAATTGATCAACTGCAAGTCAGGACAAAGAGACTTGGCCTCCTGTCTTTCCATCATGCAACCTACACTTCATCTCCGTACCACCAGCTTCCTATGCGGTGGCTTTGTTAGACCATCCGAGGCTGTGGCCCTGAATGTTTCATGAAGAGGTGTGGGTCTGTTCAAACTGATCATGCATTGAAGCTTTCCAAAATAAGATTTAAAAACAAGTAGCACATGTTTTTTGGGTCCTTTGAGCATCATTCAAGCGACACACCTTCTGAGCATTTTGTGTTTTTTTAAACAATTAACGAGACGTACACTGTTCGGATCTTTATGATGTTTTATTCCAGCACAAGTTTTTTGTGTTGTAAAATGGCTGTGTAGCTAGGAATTAAAGGAGAAGTACAAAATGGAAAATTACAGACAGTTCTAGTATAATTTAAATCCCTATTGTGTTTATTTCCTAAAACCACATCTAGGAAAACATTATTTCCCTGCCTTCTTTGGAAACATGGTCAATAAAAGAAAAAGAAAAAAAAAAAAAAAAGGTGGGGGGGGAAAAAAAAAAAGAAAGAAAAAAGATGAAGCTTCATTTCAAGTCACTCTCACGATGGAGGGGAATCTGAAAGGGCCGCGGGATGAAACACATGTACAGTCTGATTAAAAACGGTTTAACCTACCTCGTCAGGTAGCCCTTTTTTTTTTTCCTTTTTTTTTGTTTTTTGCATTTCACACAGTTTTTACCAACAGAGGGCAGCCAGCACTACTAAAATGCACCTTTTATGCATTAGTTTATGACAATGATAATTACTGCTCCTCTATAATTTTCATAGTTAAAGCAGGCTAAGCAAATTACAAATAACCGACCTCAAAACCACGACACGAGTACATTCGAGAGACAACAGCTGCGTCATTGCAGGGCCCTGCCAGTTTCCCTCGTAAGTGACGAGTGATTCCCTCCTCGCTGGCCCAGTTTTAGCTCGACACCCTGAAACCGTCTTCATTAACAAGAGGGAATGCGAGGAAACAGCATTGTTTTGGGGGATTGTGGTCGACCAGGACGTCCGGTAAGGCTTGATAGTTTCTCCACTAAATCCTGATGATTCAAAAAAAACAAAAACAAAAAAAACAACAAAAGGTAGAAGTTTGAACGTGGGCCCGTGTGCCGCTGTGCACGCGGACCGACAGCAGCTCTAACGTCACGAAGCACACGTTAACTTGCTGGTCAAAACAAATACAGGGTAACACTGAGAAATGAATCCGTTCCTCCTTCTTCTTCTTTTTTTTGTTAAACATTCATATTTTAAAATAAAATTCTCTGAAATTGTCACGGACCAAAACGCGCTTCCAAAAACTCTTCCTCAGCTTTTTTTTTTTTTTTTTGCTTTTTTTTTCTTTTATGTACAAGATTGAAACAAACCAATGACATGAGGACAAGAACAGTTCGTGTTTTTTTTTGCGTTTTTTTTCTTTTATGTACAAGATTGAAACAAACCAATGACATGAGGACAAGAACAGTTCGTGTGACTTAAAATGAATTAAAATCTGACCACTGGAGGTGAAACTGCCGCCACACTCTGACGTCACAGAGCAACACGACATGAATCGTATATATCAAAAATGGGGGGTTGGGGGGTGGGGAGGGAGACAACCACACACACTCACTTAGGCAGGTTATGCTGTAAATTTACAGTAATGACACCTATAGTTCTGTAAGCCAAAATCTCTATTGTAGAATGCTGAACATTAGGGTAGCTTCCTATAAAAATCACGTCGTTTTTTTTTTTTTTGTCGTTTTTTTTTTTCCATGTCTTTTTCCCACCCCGACGACACTAAGCATATGGCTTAAATATTTGTAAAACTATGTAGTCCAATGGGGGAATACGAGTCTCTGCCTTCTTGGTCTGTCGCGCTGAGACGATCCTCGGGACAGACGTCTACTCTGCTGTGTAGCTGCACATGGTCGTGTGTGTGCATGTTGGTGTGTGTGTTGGAGAGCAGAAGGTGAAAAGGGGGAAATCCACAAAGAAGAACAAGAAGTTACTCTTTAGGTGATCAAACTGCAAATCTTTGCCCTGCGTTGCCACCAAGTTCTGTTTTTTTTTTTTTGTTTTGTTAGCTTTTAAATAAGCGTTACGGCACGTCTTCTCTTCCTCCTTTCAGGTCTGTCACAAAAAAAAAAAAGAAAAAAGAAACAAACAAATAAAAACAATCCTTAATCACATCGTAGCCACCTTCCCTTTAGGCTTTCAGCAGGGCCGCCAGTGTAAACATGATCCCCCTTTTCTCAGCGAGCTCACAATACTGACTCAACAGACAGGCGGACACGGAAAAATAGTCCCGACAACAACAACAACGACGACGACAACAACGACAACAAAAAAAGAGAGAGAGACATCAACAACAAATACAATGGCCGTTGTTGTGAAGATATGCGGGTTAAGGGAAGAGAAATAAAAGAAAATTAAAACATTGACAGCTACCGTTCAGGAGTATTTCCTGGGGCAGGGAGCAGTTAGGGCAGTATGGATCCTTAGTGCAATGAAGGCCAGAGGAGCATCCGGCTGCGCCGCCTCAACGTTCATGCGGCCGCTCGCTCTGGAAGGTGTAGCCGGCTGACGGGGCAGCAGGCCGAAAGAGAGGTCCAGTGGACTTCGACTCTCGCCAGGAAGAAGAATAAGGGCAGACATTATGCTTCTAGTCACATAGATTCGCTCACGCTCACACACACACGCGCACACACACACACACACACACACACACACACACACACGTCCATACACACTTTATACTCTGTAAAACTACTACGGCTAAAGCCTGGGAGGGGGAGAGAGTCCAGTCCAGAGCATCTTCTGGAGGAGTCCTGAGCCTCATTTCGTTAACTTTGAATAAAAACTCATGTGAGTGTCTACGTGTATGAGGACGTGTAAACATCAAAATGTGAGTCGTGACGAGTGTGAGAGATTATTCTGCTAGGCCGCTGGGAGCGAGTGTGTGGCGTTAGGGTTGTGTGCAAGTTAACTATGCCTGTGACCGGTTTGCTATTGTATGGGTTTCTGTCGTCTGTGTGTGTGTGTTTGTGTACGTTGTCTTCATATGTTTTTATCTTTTGTTTCCTATTAAGTCTCTCCACTGTGGCAAATGTACATTCATCCATCGTAGGGGGGCAAGTATGACGCTGGGCCACACACCAACTGATCCTGAGGCTTTTCCAGTGGTCCGATAGAGACCTCGTCAGCGCGCTCAAAATAAACAGCAGTAGAGGTACTGGAGGACGCTGTACCACATGTAGCCGGAGGCGAAAGCAAACGACTGGATCAAGCACAGCCACACGGGATCGAGGGTCATCTGCCGGGAAACTGCCTCCTTCTTTCCTTCCAGGGGAGGGAATGATTCTGTTAAGAGACGGACAGAGACGGATTCATCACAACGCTGCTGCTGCTGTGGAGAGTTCCTGGTCTGTTGCTGCAGATGGCGTTTATTTCTAAACATGCCGTAGCGCTAACGTGAGCGAGCTAAGCTAACCGCGTTCTACCATTTGAGTGGAAGCTGAATTGAGCAGCCTCCTATATGTTTAACCCTCTCATCACCGAGCAGCATCACTCATGTTCACTCACTGTGGGCTCATTTTTCACAGCAATATAAAGTCCTGCACCTCTATGGAAACAGTACAACCGTGGATAGAAGCAGGGACGACTCATGAATGTGTTTTTGGAAGCACTGCCATAAATTAATAAAAAAATAAAAAATAAAGCTGAGTTTATATAATTTCTTGTTTTCCAAAAACTGATAAAACCTGGAATCAACATTGTTGCCCAAAGGTTTCATGACGACTAGAAAAAAGCGATGCCTCAGCGTACTACAGATGTTTCAGTGCTTACATGTTAAATTTTGTTTGTCTCCTATCAGCTACGTAGAAACACAAACTGCAGTTTAGTCGACGAGTCTCTAAACTTTTGTCATGTGACTTTAGATCACAGCAGGGTCACAAACGCATTTACAGTTTTTATTTTTGGTAAATTTCTAAATGAGAAATGAAAAACAAAGTGATTTAGAAATTCAGCGATTTGTTCTGTTTTCACCGTTTCCGGCTCCGATAAACGCTGGAGTTTTGTGGGTTTAAAAAACAAACAAACAAACAAAAAAAAAGGTAACATGACGTTCAACCACATCGGTATCGGCCGATATTAGTGTTGTTTTTCCTCATATATCGGTATCGGTCCAATGAACACATTTAGTCGATGATCGTTTAACATCAGCGTCTTCGTCTCTACGTTTGATATCGCTGCTATTTCACAGATGTTTTACTTAAATGGTCCTTTAACGTTAAATATGTTTAAATATGTTTTATGTAATAAATTAGACTATGTGGTCTTATTTCTTTTGCATAGTTTTGTCACAGCGCTTACTCATTTTTTGGTGTGAACAAAAATAGAATATCGACATCGGTGATATCGGTTATCGGCGATATCAGAAGTCTTAATATCAGATATCGGTATCGGCCAGAAATCTTAATATCGTGCATCACTAGTTCAAACCCACCAGTGGGTTTTGGGGTTCGGAGGGTTGATGTTGTAATGCAGCAGGTGTTTTCAGTTATTTTCTGTGTGTCTTTAAACAACACTGTGTGTGCTTGTTGAAAAAGGGTGAAAACATTCACAGGTTATACAGCATGATGTGTCTCCTAGCAACAAGTGCCCTCGAATGTCAGTCAACTGTTGCCATGGGAAACATGTGAGCTGGTTCTGGAAGCGTTTTTCCCCTTTTTTTGTGTTCTCATCTCAGTTTATCCGTTAACGTTGCTTCACAGAGCCCTCCTGGGTGATGTAACGACCACGTCAGCTCGTGTTTTGGCCACCGGCTTCAATTATTTCAGCTTCTGAGAAATCCCGTTTCTCCGTCCTTTTGGCACAGCGGACGGCTTTTAAAGACTACAATACCCACGAGCCTCTGCTGCTGTTGCCATGGAGAAGAAGCCAGCCAGAGGTGTGAATTAGATTCTGTTGCTGCAGTTGTTCAGAAAATCTGAATACATTTTTTAAGTTTGTATGTTGACGTTATTTTCTAAGACAGTTAAATGACGTGTATTTGGACTGAACTAGAAGAATTTCTAAAAGCCAATCCGAGCCACAGAAGCACTCCAAATAGAATTCATGAATCATTTCCTATGGGAACGCTGAATGGGACTTTTACTTCCAGCAGCACGGACGCCAAAAATAGCTCCTCCTGCTTTGCATCTCAATATGTTTATCATCAAAATCGTCATAACATTTCAGTTTAACTTCATCGGACTGACACGGAGAGACAGACCTGTCTTGTAGAAGTGGGCCAGCAGCTCTTCTTTCTCCACAAACCTCTTGTACAGCCAGTCAGTCAGGGCCTCTGCCTCCACAGGAACCTCTTTTATGGGGTACATCCTGAAGAAGAAGAGAGAGAGAGAGACGGGCAGACAGGGAGAGAGATGAAACACAAAAAAGGATTACTGAAGTCTCACTCAGCAAAAAAAAAAACCCGTCTGCATTGATCTGTCGTGGAAGCTGCAGTCCAAACCCGGGGAGTCAGCCGTGGTCCCTGAGCGGAGCAGTCTATTTCAAACCGGAGTCTATTACAGCAGTCTGTGTTTGCTGTAGCTTCAGCTTGTTCTGAGGATTCATTAGCTGGCAGCCTCATCAGAGTGTCACCGGGAGACAGAAGTGCTGAGGGGAGCTCTGACAGCAGACAGACAGCTCGTGCAGCTCCGCAAAATGTCTCGCTTAGAAGTGAGTGGGAGAAGAAAAAAAAATAAAAAAAATCAAACCGCACGAGTTGAATCGGTTTTAGCCATCAAGAAAGTGAGAAGTCGCAGTTCAAAGTCAGAGAGAAGCAGCACTATTGGATCTTTGCAATTCTGCTTCTCACCAGGAAGCTTTCTGCTTCACAGACCAGCACACACAGTTAATCCATGTGAGGAGCTGGTCGGGCCAGAAGTAGCTTTATATCACTGTGAAGGATAGAATAGACTAGAATAGAATACAATAATATTTTATTGAAATTGTTAATAAACGGATATATTTGGGTTTTAAACTATTTGTTGGACAAAACAAGACATCTGACGACAGAGTTGCAACGATTACCCGATGGATGGATCAGGTGTCGACTATTAATTGAATTGCCCAGTACTGTGATAATAGATTAATCAGGGGCTGCAGGTGGCTCAGTGGTTAGCACCGTCGCCTCGCAGCTAGAAGGTCGCCGGTGAGGACACCCGGGATCTTTCTGCGTGGAGTCTCCATGTTCTCCCCGTGCAGCGTGGGTTCTCTCTGGGTTCTCCGGCTTCCTCCCACAGTCCAGAAACATGTTGAGGTTAATTGGTGATTGTAAATTGTCCGTAGGTGTGAATGTGAGTGTGCTTGGTTGTCTGTCTCTAAGTGTAGCCCTGTGATAGACTGGTTACCTGTCCAGGTGAACCTGCCTTCACCCTGAGTCAGCTGGGATAGACTCCAGCCCCCCATGACCCTAGTGAGGATGAAGGTGTAGAGATGATGGATGGATTAGTCGGTTTTTTGGAGTCTAAATTCTCTGATTCCAGGTTCTTAAATCTGAAAATTTTCCTTTTCTTTGAGCAATAATCATCAATAACCAGTGATGTGCAATAACTTCTATATTCACTCTGCAATTACATGCATGGGGATGGGGTTTTATTTTTATTATATTTTTACAGTTTTGCTATTTTTGCTTTAAGTTGTTGGATCCTGAAGAAACGCTCTCTCATCTCTACTGTGTATGTGCAGCAAAATGAGAATAAACCTGATTTGATTTTGACTGTTTATTTTCTTGTTTGTATATCCTGTATTAATGTTTCCATAAGCGCATCTGAATCCGTGTATGCTCCGTGTACACAGTGACAATAATCCAATCTGATTGATCAGGAAAATAAATCAGCAATTAATTAGTAATTAGGAAAGAAAATAGCCGTTAGCTGAAGCCTTTCTTCACAAAACGATGTCGGTAAAAGGCGACGGTCGTTTAATAAGTTTTGGCGTTTGATTGGAGCAACAGCTACTCAGTGAAATTTAAATTAAAGGGATTGTTATTGTAGTTCAGACATCATGAAGGTATCTTAGCTAAAAGTGTACCGAAGCAGCAGGTCTGAATCCTGCTTCTTAAAAAAACACACAATCAGAACCACAGTTCTCTCCCAAATGTTCTGTTCACCATCACAGGAGTTATGACATTTATTAGCATGACTAACATGTAGCTGCCAATCTCCGCTCACGTATTTCTCCAATTATCCACTTCTAGATGGAGCTGAAACAACAAGTTTTTTTTATTTAATTTTTTTTGCAAACACGAATGAGGGATGACTTTTTAAAGACTGAATCAGCGGCTGACGCTGCAGAAACGGTAGGTGGCTGATAAAAAAGGGTCACTTTTACGAGCCGGGATGACAGCGCTGATGAAATCTTTTCTGTAGCCAGAAGGGGTCTCTAGTAGGCTGCACTCCCACTCAGGCGGCTCCTGGTCACCTTCAAATAGAGGTTACCGTCTCCTCCCTCCCTCCCTCAGACGAGCATTTCCTCTGCACTCAACATTTGCTCAATATTCCTGACAGCATAATGATCACAGTCAAAGTACATCTGTGCCAACAAGGAACGCTTCTGTAGCAGGAAAGTAATAACTGATACGGTATTGATTGCTGGGCTGATCAATGTATTGCATATTAAAAAGCAATCTCAGGAAAGGCAACAGTTCGGCTGTCAGGAGGACGTCTGTCTTGGAGATGCAGCCCGGGACGACAGGCTCGATTCTCACGGTCTGCTGCAGGCATGAGCATCATGACCATCATCTGTGCTTACAGTGACAGCAGCCAGCCCCCGAAATAAAACCATCAACACTACAAAAACAGGAAATAATAACGAGGAGCGTTGGCTCGAACGTGCCGATTCAGTGGGAATAATGTGTTCGTTTATAATTATGAGGCTTTTTTTGTTGTTGGAATATTTAGCGAGCTAAAAGGACAATATAGAAAATGAATCGGCATCTAATGCGACGGTCGCTTTATCAGGCAGATCTGATCTGATGCTTTTCTCTGTCGTTAATGAGAGCAAATTAATCAGCCGAGATGTCCTCCTGAATTTACTGATAAATGACACGCTATTAATTGATAAAATAATTGGTAGTTGGAGCCCTAATGATCCGCTAAATTAAATTGGAAATGTAATAAATAAAGCAAACTGATCAGATCGAGCACTCGTGTTAAACTTTTAATGGCTGAACTGACTTCTGTGGTCTGACTACGGGGCACATACGAGGCGTGTTTTCTTCTGGCTGACCTCCTGTTCTAAGGACGATTGGTCTGAAAGGTAAAAGACAGACGGACGGGAAGACAGAAAAGACCGACGCAATCTGTGCGACCAAATCAGAAGAAGGCTGGGCCGGCTCGTTGCACAGATCAGAAGGGCAGGAGCCGGTGATTCAACGTGCACCTCTGTTCAGTTCGAATATTTTAGGTGCGAATCTATGGACACTTGTGCTCATTATCCAGCAGTTCAGCGTGTGGGCGTCGCTCTGTGGCAAGTCTGAACAAGATCCTGTCTAAGCAGAGCAACTTTCATGTGCCTGGCAGCTCAGAACGTCTGTTTAAGTTTAAGATAAAGCCGACAAAAATCCACTACTTTTGGCTGTTAAAGGATCTCATAAAGCTGAACTTTTGAAGATAAAACAGACCAATAGTAACACAACACTGGAGCTAAGCTGCTGTGGCCACCTGATAGGGTGATTAGAGGCCGAAGCAAGACGCTCCACGGAGCTTCTCCTCCTCTGTTTGCAGATATCAGGTGTCTTTCCTGTCACATAGGGACCGACCGCTAAGTGCTGACGTTTTGTCAAAGCAAGGCACAGGAGATTCAGACAGCGGCTGAGAAAACTAGACAAATTAAAATATCTTAACAAGGCTGATATGATATCAAGGACAGAGAGGAGCAACTGAATGAAAGGCAAATCAAATTTGTTCCTCTGGTCGTGGCGATAGGTGGTCATTGCTGGATTCGGCTGCACATGTAGCTCCCATTAAAAGCCTATTTTTGTGTGGCAAATTGAACACTTTAGTCACAGCCATGATCGGTGATGGCGGTGTCATTAATTATAAGTGAATGAATGATTAAATCTATGGTCTAATGTAACACGCGAGAGCCTGGAGAGCATTTCACACCTGCTCCACTGCATGATGCCGTCCCTCTTTGCGCCTGAAATGTAAACCGATAGCGCCGTAACCCTGGCAGAGGAAAAACAAAAGCCGACTCGGGCCACTTATCGGAGGGTTTGAGCGTTTAGGGCCTTGGGTAGCAGGTGGCTGCCACAGCGCTTTCCTGCAGCTGAAATATTCATGCACAAATCAGGATCTTTCGGCGTTCGGAGCAGCTGCACGAGCTGTTGAGAGCAGCTGAGGTTGAAGGAGGAGCTGCTGATTTGGGTCCAGGGAAACAACAATGATGTGCTTAGATAAGGGCACAGCGTCTTCCCCGCATCAGCTGATTTCACCGGTTCATCTGCCAGGTTTGTTTTGAGAACAGCGTCGGTAGCCACATCTGCACGAGAGTCCTCAGATTAATCACTTAGAGAGAAAAATCGACCGGCGAGTGGGAAGCTCGCTGGCTGGAGTCACATCCTGAACGGAGAACACCTGGCTTCACGTTTTAGTTGGACTTGTGAGGGTAATTTCTAATGCTGCAACTGACAGTTAGTTTCAGTGTCGATAAAACTTGTACACTTGAATGACGTCTAGCAGCTTTTATCTCTAAACCTGGTGTTGCTTGGCTGTTCCTTTAATCTATAATCTATAAACTTTTGAAGATGCAACAAAAAAGCGACCTACTAACTACACTATTAGTAGCTGAACATACACAAAAAGTGTGAAAAAGTGAAAGCAGCACAATTTGAAACTCTATTTTTAGTCTTTTACAGTAAAAGACTGCAAGGAACTCCAACAACGCTTTCTCATGTCGCAGCAGAATCAGTTACTAGCCTGAAAAAAACAAACTGTAATGATATATAATCATTTGCTGCCTTAAGCTTTATTAAACTAGACAAAGACACATGCAGGCTTCACAGCAGAGCGTGTGAGCATCAGGAAGGAAACACAGAACGGGAAGATTTGTTTGCAAAAAGAAATCAATTGTGGAAAAATTTCGGCTACGGAAAGGATGATGTTGATATAAAACAGGAAGTCTGTCAGCAGGGTCTTGTGATTTTTGCCACTACAAGAGGCAACACAACGAATTTGTTCGTTTAGATCTCAAAGTACTTTATGAAAAAAATGACACCCAAAGCAAGAAACTACTTAGGATGCCTTTGCCAGTATCTTGTCTGCTATTTTAAAGAGTATAACTGCTTCTGCAGGTGCAGTTCCCTAAAAATCACCCCAATCCATCTAAAACGA